AAACATACATTTTCTCAGAGCTCGGCTACTCTGAATTTCATGATGGTCAAAACAGGCCATAAATGCTTTTACAGCATCTGTTTTCTTCTCCCTTCTGTCAAAGCACAAGTAGTTATAATGAGTGTGTGGGCAGCAAAGCAGCAGCAGTCAGAGGGCCAGATCTAAGCAACAGGACACTAACAGGAGACCCTAGTGCCTCCAGACAGAGCTCTCTTACTGTACTACTACTGTGCGTCGGCCACCATCATAATGGCTTTGCCAGCATGGAGCCTCATCTCTCTGGCCATGTGTGTTCCTCCATCTGAGCTACTGTCCCTGTGTAAAACTACCTGCTGCAACAGACCAACTTTATACTTCCTTCCTGCCTTCAGCATGACGGCTTTACAGTTGTCAGCAGAGGAAGCCTATGCAGACAGTAAAAATGTTACTTGGAGTCTGGGTTGAATAAAGAAATCATCTTTGTGTTGTTCCAAAGAGGAAGAAACAAGAACACAAGATTTGCTGTTGTTTTGTGTTTGACCTCAGAATAAAGAGGATAGGTTGACTGTGAATATGGCAAAAATAAAACATTTTCTCATGTGCTTCATATTTGCTTTGTCACTGCAATTTGTTGTGAAGCTACTTCTCTTACATTTGATGCGGACAGAAGTTGGTTCCACTGTGCATTGCATGTGAGGAATGTGCAATTTATTAGCACTAAGTAAGAGAACTCTCAGTACTGTTGAGCTCTACACAGACATTAGCAGCGGCTCACTGGACGATGTGCTTAGCATTCACACAGGTGGTCTGACAGAGAAGTAAGAGGAAAAAAAAAATCAACTCTTTTCTAGTGGACTTTCTCTTAACTGTAGCGCAACAAGACTGTGCAGTGTCCATGTTGTTCATCATCCATCTGTGGGCAGTGGTTGGAGAGGTGGGCCTGGGACCAAAAGACGTAGTCCCTGACAAATGCACTCCTGTCTGACTAAACTTTTCAGAAACTACTGTGTCCAGCTGTTTTAGGAAGTTATTGAGCTGTTGGAATTCAAATGTTTAAAGATTTGCATTGATTCACTAAGAATAAATGGGTCTCAGACTAAGAGGAGCTAAGACAATACCCAGGCACGTTACTGGTTTGGACCTTTTCATGAGATTAGTTGGCAAAGACAAAAACACACAATACTGACAGCCTTGAAGCTTAAACTCTGAAGTCATTATGGTGTCTGGGTCTTATGGCACAGTCAAGGGGACTTACCGTGGTGTCATTGGTAGTAACGTAGAGCAAGATTTCAGAAGTACCCTGGCCACTCACATATCTGTAGCAGTTCCACACACATTCTATAAGGTAGGCCTGAGAGAACAGAAACACACATCACAAGCTGGAACTGCCTAATGTAAAAATCCAATATCATCAATCAATTACACTCACAGGCTTTGTAAACAAATGAATGTTTGAACTAGCCAGTGTTTGTGTTGGTATGGCTGCTTCTGTATTTAGGTTTTCAAGCAACGTTCTTGCAGCGTTGCAGTTTCAAGAATTGTACTGAGGTGTTCCAATATATAATCAGGTCACCTAGTTCCCTGGGACGTGACAGTATGGTGCACACAGACAGATGCAGATTGTACCATGATAACACGCACCTCATGTCTGATAGTGAATAGAGTGTAAATTCTAATCCATTCCCTCACTTGCTGAAGTCTGACTCTGGTTCCAGGATCTATCTGAGAGTTATACATTACTTCAAAGTGGGAAACTCAAGTTTCATTTGTTCTATGTCAACCGGGAAGCATCTGGCTCTAAGCAGACAGCTTGCTACTGGAACTCCCCAGCCAAACACAACGCCATCTGTTATGGTACTGTACTGTGCTGAGCAGCTCTTTGAGGTTGTCGGGTACTCGGAGTGAAATGTTAAATGTCAGCATGGCAACATGAACACAGTGACAATGATAACATGCTGCTTAGCATCTTAGTTTAGCATGTTAGCATTCTAACCTAAATACAAAGTGCAGCTGAGTTTGACGTTTGATCACAAGCCAATTAATAATGGCCAAAACCCATTCCATCTGGTTCTACCGAAACATAAACAGACACACAATAATCACCTGTCATGTCTCATACTATACTTGGGGTCTACTTTCTTCAGGACTAATGAAGGCACATTTATTTCCACCACACTTAAGTTGTCATAAAATCACAAATGGACTGAAAGGTGCATAAAAACACAAGCCTGTATCACAGAGTTTCATAAGAAAATTGTTCAGCTGGAAACAGGCCTGCAACAAACTCAGCGTATGGAAAAAATGTGCAAATTAAGGTATGAAAACATTACCTTGAAACCAAGAATGCAGCCAATGAAGAGCAGCACAATGAGGATCAAGCATATGTATACATATAAACAGTCAGTAACAGGCAGAGAGCTCATCTGAGGCTAATGGAGCACCAGTCATCAGACAGTAGAGATCATCTATCATACTGCATGCATCTACACTGAAGCATTTGACTTGTCAAAAAAAACCTCATGAACCACCACTACTACTGACTTAGATGCCACTCACTTCACTTTTCATAGTAAAACACTTAGAACTTCTTACCAGCTGCTGCAGGTAGTCCTGTACCGTGTTCGGATAGACCACGATGCTGACAGCGACCAGGGTGTTGAGAGCTAAGTCAAATATTTGGTAGCAGAAAAATGGGATGATCCAGGTGCCACGCAGCTGAAACAGACATATTTGTTTTAGGACACAGTCAACCTATCTCAAATAGGAGCAGAAGATAGGTTGTCACAGTCAAGAAGAGCAAGCTGAGCTCTTGCGGAGTGTTTGAACTGTGGATATAAATCAGATTTTTGTTATGTTTTCAAATATTCCAAAAGTAGACGTATTAATACAGTAGAACCATAACATTAATAAATCATTGAAATAGTCTGAAAAGTGCTGTTACAACAATCAACACTTGAGAATTTTCTAATTTCCTCTCCTGCAGTTCAATGTGATCAGTGTGTAATTGTACAGAACATTTTGCTTTAATCAGCAGCACTGTGCAAGTCTGACAAGAAATCATTAGTTTACCTTGTATGCACCGTATGTTGCCATCCCACATATAAGAATCATCAGCAGAGAGATGACTGAAGCGATGCACATGTCTGGAGCAGCAAGAGAAGTAAAGTTGATAAAACAAGCAGTTCTGATTTGGCATGTGCCTGTTTATTTCAGCCAGTGCGGGGTCACTTTGGCTGAGGCACATTTAATCCCAAACCATATTTCTGACCATAGTCACAGCATCATGTCCACACTGTGTTCAGAATCTAAATGACAAGCTGCATCTGTCAACCAGACGAGGAATCAGCCTCCGCTCCGCGGTTCGCTCCACATCAGCCTGACCTGGTATCAACATAACAGAAGGAATCAGTGTGCTACATAAGGACAGCACCAGGCAAAGTCAACATGGGAAAGTACTGGGGAAAACTGATATTCCTCTGTCCAATAAGATGCCATACACCACAGAATCTGCTGTAAAAGAGCAAAAGGATCATTTCCAGCTCATTCAATCAAAAGACAAGACTGGAACCTGCATAGCAATGTATTGTCCCCGTTATGCTGCTGTAACAAATGTTCACATCAGTAAAGTTTGTAGACTCAGCAATAAAATGGACAGATTCAGTTCTGACTCGGTTCAATCTAAACAAATTCATTCCCCTTTGATATTCAGTTATAGACCCAGTATTAATCTGTAATAAAAACCTTGCAAATTGTGTTTGATTCTAGATTGTTTTTTGAGATCCAGCCTCACTTGACCCAGATGTGAGGATGTGACCTAGTGCTCTGGTGTGGAGAGTAATGATGCAGTCAGACCAAAATCCAGTTGGCCAAAAGCAGGAGGGCATAAGAAATAGCATGTAAGAGGGAGGTGTCCACTCTAGGGAGTCGGTGTATCACAACCTTCAGCTTAACTAAGGGAAAACTAAAGAGGTGATAATAGTTTTTGGGAGAGGTGAGGGTGTAAAAACACCTGTTGAATTTGCTGGGAAGTGTTCATAAGATTACAATCTCTGGAACTTCAAGGAAAGCTGTGGGTCCGTTTTACATAGTGTCTGTCGTGCACAGTGTGCGAGCGTTCTCTGTCCCAGTTTGGTCTGGTAGTCTGACCATTGTTAAAATAAATATATTTAAGACAATAGCTAAGACTACATCTAAAACGGCTGTCCACTGTCTGTTGACATTCTGTTCTCTCACTGTGAGACTACGTATGGACATACTGGCCTTCTGAGCTACTTACTGGCATCGTCCATGACGTCCAGGTCATTCGCCAGCTGGTACTGCTCAGGGTCACTGAGTGCTGTGAGCAGGATGAGTAACACCACAGCATTGATGAGCTTAGGGAGACAGCACATATGGACAAAGGTAGCAATATGAGTAGGAGACAGTGGAAGAAGAGAATGAAAAAGTGCAGATGCTGAATGTAGTCTGCCATGTTAAACTCTCTAAATCTGTCACAGGACATGTGATGGATCTCTATTTATGATCTTAATAAGCTGCACAGTAAAAAGGAATATAAAAACTCTGTGCACCTTAGGTTTTAATAAGTAGTAACTATAGAAACCTAAATATGATCAATGAGACCTGAACTTAGAAACAGAGTGACTGTATTAAATGACATATCAACAGAAAAGGCTGAGTCCAGGCCTTTGCTGACTGGTGCAGCTCATTACACAGGTGACTCACACATCCCCACTGATCAGATGAATGTAATGTAACATTCTTTGCAATCAATAGGCAGCTGGACACAAAGCCCTGCTACCTGAAGAGGCCCACTGCTAATTTATTCATAGGGAGCAGGGGGAAGATTTTCCACATCTGGTGTTTGGCTTCATTAACCCTCTCCTGTACGTTCAGTTTAACAGACTACCAGCGGAACTGGCTCATCATTCACATTTTACAATATCTAAAATTTAAATAAAGACTTAATATATATAAGATTTAATAGTACAAAAAACAGGACACACGTATAGTATTTTCATGGTTTCATTTAGTACAATTATTTGACAATGTTGACGTCACCGTCCCTGGTAGGCTAGTGGTTGAGACACAGCGCTCTCGCCGCTGCGACCCAGGGTCGAGTCAGGGTTGCATCAGGAAGAGCATCCGGTGGAAAACACGTGCCAAATGTCAACATGCGAGTCGTCAGTGTGACGATTGGCTGTGGTGACCCCTAAACGGGAAAAGCCGAAAGTGACTTTCTATTTGAAAATCACGTTATTGATTATTATTTATCTGAAATGTTCCCCAATATAGTGTGACGATCCACGTCAGCCATTGGGGTCATTACAATAGGTTTAATTAATTTTCAATAAAAAGCGACTGTGGAGGAGGAGGAAGCGCCCACCTAAAACTCTGAATGCCCAGTTTTACTTACAGAAGCCTAGACCCAACAGGTCGGGTCACCTCAGCACCCTACAGTGGGACAAGCTGCTGGTGTCTGTCTGGATGTGGTTTAAAGAACATAGCTCGGTTCCTCTCTGACAACAGGAATTCTGGTGTTAATGTTGGAGTGAGCTTTCAAGCTCAGCATTGCAGTACGAATCCTCTGTCCTAAGCTCATGCTTCTCCCTGATAATGCTCTTTCTCATCATCAGCCTGGTGCCTACACGGATGCTGCGGGTGACAGACGATAGGCGGTGCTCACCATGTACCAGACACCCAGGATGATGGTTCCTGTGCGGACGTGGCAGCCCAGACAGCAGCCCGTGGAGTACCAGCGGGGCCACGGAGAGAGCATCACCTCGTCTGCCGTATCACACCTGCGCCAGCATCTACACTCGGTGCCGCTGTTAGTGGAGCCCGCTCTGCAGCTGGCGTCGGTCCTCGATGTGAAATAACAGACAGGATGCGACCGCCCCTGACCCGTCTGCTACTTAGCACCATGGGCAGCTAAACGAAGCGGGCGACCAGCGTCTACCGAGCTAGCGTCAGGTAAAAGTGACGCTTCCGGTTTCAAAATAAAACCCCGGCAATACATAAGCTATGTGCTGACATTTTTAGGACGAAATAACGCAAATGTTTTTAAAGGAAATATTTTATGCAAAATTACCTTCCGTAATTTCAATTATTTAATTGCAGTTTATAAAATTGGCCGATACCATTATTAGTTTTTTTTAAATTACATGCTGTGCATAACCCATTTGTCATTTATCTTTACCATTTAATCATAGCAGGGCCTTGTTAGGTATTTTTTAGTCAGATAGATATTGGTTAGGTACTTGTTGTATTAGAAATGTCTTTAGTGTAGACAGGATGTCTAGCTCAGGCTGTTAAATGCTTACTCATTTCCATGAGTTACTCCAGGTTGTTTATGTTCAAGGATAACTAGATAGAAGGTGGCTACTGTATGATATGTTTAGCCGTAATCTTAATCATAATATCTTCCTAGGCTTAATGTCCGGACATGTCCCTGAATGTCCTGTATGTTCTTAGATACACACCACTTAATCAACACTCACACACATTGATTTTCTCCATGTTTTGACTACTGCTACGGTCAGCTGTAAAGCTGGCATATCAGGTGACGCCACGGTTTGACGTGCCTGTGTAGAATGGGGTTAGCCCAAGCCAGATATAATGTACAGGCCTGTTGGGTTCGGGGTCTTACATTCTTCATCTGCCTGCGCGCAGTATTGGAGGTGGAAGATACCTGGACGTGTTATGTTAATTTTGCCTGTGATCCTTTGAATAAACCAGCACGGTTTTTTGTAGCCACTTGGACCGCCTCATCTCTCTGAATTTCACTGGTTAAGCGTAACTGGGAAATACCTTTCAGCTGCTAATTACCAGCTTATTACTGGCTGTTTTCTCAGTTAGTTAGTTATCTGGTCAACAAAATGCCAAGAAATAGTAAAAACAAATGAACAAAATTCTGAGAACCCAAAGTGATGCCTTGTGCACTCCAACCAATAGTCCATAAGGCAAACATATTGTTAGGATGGCGTGGCCGGGATGGTGAAGATGCGGAACCAGATGTCCTCGTGATGGTTGCCGGCGATGGTGAGACGAAGCGGTGGAGTGCAATGTGTGATGAGGGTCAGCAGTCGGCCGTCGATGGCCCGGGTCTCGATGGGATGGGGCAATGGTTCGGCGGCCAGGCCTAGTTGCTCCACCAAGCTCGGATCCATAAGATTGCCCCTGGCCCCAGAGTCCAGGAGAGCCAGGTGGGAAGACCTCTGGCCGCCGGCCTCTAGGAGCACAGGAAGGCGGCAGCTGGTGATGGACCTGGTGGAATTGGAGGAACGGCCCATCAGTGTCCCCCGTTGTGGCTGGGGTCCGTGGGGCCGACTGCCGCCCTGTTCGCTCTGTATAGGAATAACCCAGTTGTTTGTCAATCCGAATGGCCAAGTCGACTAAAAGGCTGAGGTCAGGGGACTCATCCTTAGTATTAAGCTCGGCTTTAATATTATTGTTTAGGCCGTGCCAGAAGGCCGCTCATAGCAGGCGGTCCTCCCAGCCGGCCTCAGTAGCAAGAACTCGGAAGTCAACAGCATAGTCTAGGACTCGCTGAGCCCCCTGAAGGATGGTCAGGAGCTCCTTAGACGCTTGGCTCTGGTGGGATGAAGGAGAAAAAAACAGTCTTCAGGTTATCGAAAAACTCTGTGATGGTGGTACCGATGAGTAGGCCACTGGAGTCCGCAGCCTCGGCCCAAGACAGTGCTTTACCTTGGAGACGGTTTATGACATAGCTGATTTTCTTTCTATCTGTACGGTATGTCCGTGGTTGGTGCTCAAACACCCGGCGGCACTGCAGCAGAAAACCCCAGCATTTATCCACATTGCCGTCAAAAATGTCTGGTTCAGGTATTGGAGGATCTAGGCAGGGACTGGTAGAACGGGTGGATGGACGATTCTGTTGTGACAACATCAGGGAGGTGAGTTGTGTTACCTGTTGTGGGAGTGCCGCCAGGTCATGTTGCTGCTGCTGCAGTGCCTGAGCTAGTTGTACATTTGACGGATGGTGTGCCTGCACCAGAGTCAGCAGGGTCCATGTTGGCCAGTTCTTTCTGTTAGGATGGCTCGAACACAGAAGTGAGCGAGTCACAAAAATAGACGGACCCAGGTGGCTGACTTCGATGCAGGCAGTGCTAGTTTATTTACAGTGTTAAATAAGTGACAAGAAATGAACAGTAGTGTAACAATGGGACCGGGTGTCGAGCTTCAGAGGGTTACACAGTCAATGGTGGAGACGATGAGAAGAGGACCGCTGCAGACACTGGGACTCACTCCTGGAATGGTCGGGTTTGATGCAACTGAAGATAAACAGAAACAGTACATACGGTGAGTTGTAGACTGTGCATCGACCTGCAGGGTGGTGATGAGCAGAGTGGAGGAGGTCCGTGGTCCGAAGGAGCGGCTGAGGCAAAGAGGGAATGTAATCTAAGCAGCTGGAGAGAAAGAGACACAAAACACTAATACAGAATCAAAAGAACGACGGGGAACAAACGGGCCTGAGAAAAGCTAGAAAGAACTGGCAGGGGAGTGAACGAAGAGCAGGGACTAAATAGGGAGAAACTAATCATGTGCAGCTGGTGGCAAGCAGGTGAAAAGGATAGCGTAATCAGGGTAAGGGAGAGAAAACAGAGTGAGGGGAGTGAGAAAGTAGGTGCAGCCGGGCAAACCTGACAG